AATCCATGGACAATGACACAATAAGGCTGTTTATAGTTAGAGAGTACATAGGAGATACAGAACATGTGGTTTTAAAGGGCCATTAAGGACAGCTCAGTTATACAAAAGGGCTACTAACAATATTGACATACAGAGGACAGTGTAGGTTTGTTTTTTTGTTTTAAATTTATGGGGGATGTGTGTAACATGGGGCTAAGAAGCCCCCTATGTGATAGCCAATTTACATGACGGGTCCTCTTTTTGGAGACATCAGGGGTCTCCAAGACCCCTAATGTCACCTAGGGACCCCCAGAGAAGCTGATGAAGCAGAGATCGGCTTCATCAGCTTCTGTAGCTGGGAGAGTGACACTGAATGCAGGAAGTGATGTAATATACATCACTTCCTGCATTCAGGGACTGAGAGGAGATCAAAGGGAGTTCGTATACTGAACTCCCTTTGCTCTCCTGTCACAGAGCCGCATCGGGCACAGCGGATCGCGGGACCGGCAACGGCAGTGACAGCTGCTAATACAAGCGATCGCTTGAATGTAAAGCTCCCGGCGGGGAAGCTGCTTGCCGGGCTCCACACGGTTAAAAACCCTGTCAGCCTTTGTGTGGAATTTGGGGAATTTTGTATAATATTGTGTAAAAACTCAACAGACTGTGAGGGGAAAATCTCTGTCTTCCTAAGCTGGAATGAACCAGCTGAAATTCGCACAGTGCATGCCTCTGTCGACACCCTTCAGTCCGGCACCCCTTGATCAGAAAATCGAAGGCACCGGATGAAAGTTCTTGGGCTGAAAGGTGACTGCAGCCAGTGTTTAGCTGTTCAGCATTAATGGAGGAATCCCCCCAATTCATATTTGGTTGACAACTCAGAAATTATTACAATTCTCCTTCACTTTCAGTCCTGGTTGTAGGATAGAAATGGATTTGATACCCGCTCACCACTTTTGGCAATGATGTATTTATCATTGAGAATACATGCGTTAACATACAGGTTTGAAGAGACTACTGAAAACAATGTCTGTACTGGAAAATGCATGACAACACATCTAGTGGGAGCAAACCCTTGGGCAAGCGATGTTTCCATCTGGTCATGTCATACCTCCATCCATTCATATAGAAATTGGGGGCAAAACAACAATACTTTGCAACAGGACACTACCAAAAAACATTTTTGTTCGCATGCAGAAGGGTTGGCAAGTTTTAATTTTAACTCTGCTTTGCTGTCAACTGCTTTATCCATTGTCGTCACAGACCGATAACAAGCTTGCATTTCAGCTCTTCAGCACCCTAAAACTGGGGGAAGAAAGTTTAGTTGCAGTTAAGCTGGCCATACACTGGGGGGAATATATCAAAACTAGAGAAGACAAAATCCTGGAGCAGATTTGCATGGCAACCAATCAGCTTCTATCTCTCATTTTCAAATCCCAACTGAGCAAACTGAAGAGAGAAGCTGATTGGTTGCCATGGGCAACTGCTCCAGTTTCTGTCTGTGCCAGTTTTGATAACTTCCCCCCAATGTGTTTTACTTGTGCAGTTCCACATGTTCAGTTCCACAGGCTGAAGGAGAAAACATTCTCAATTCTGACATCCATGTTAACATCATTGACGGGGGAATCTCTGCCAGGCTATTTAATTGACAGCCCGCGCCCAACACTGTTAGAATACATGAAGTGACTTCACAGAATGGCTATCCTTTATTGAGTACAAGTGACAGGTTCCAAGAACAGTTTGTATAGGGACCAATTCTGTCTGAGGCACATGTACATATTCTATAAAAATGAAACCCCCGCCCTTCCCCGACAGGCATTGAGCTGCTTCTCCCAGTGATAATACAAGTGCTGATATTTGTGTGCTGGCTCTGGACATGGCAACACATAATGGCTGAGGAAATTAGGTACTTCAGACAGTTTATGCTCAGGTTGGAAAATTCCATATCATTTCGGGCTCCATGAAACAGAGAGTAATTTGTGTACTTAGCCCCCCCCCTTTCCCCAACAAAGCAATAAAGTCATTGTGTAGAAGCTGCCAGGAATTATGAATGAGACTGAGCTGGCTGTGTTATCACAATGGGCTCCTTTTTTAGTGTTTGCTTGTGAAATTGCTTGAAACCTTTATCACAGGTGTTGTGGAATCTCTGTAAACATGAAAAGGAGCTGTTTTCCTGAATATGTGAAATCCCTTATCTAGAAACCACCCCCTATAGACTTGTGTAGCCAGTTGCATGATTTTCAAGGTTTCTGGAAATGTTAGCTGAATGTCTGATTGCACCAATTGTGGTCAGCTGGCATTCATTTCAGTGCTATTGGACACTTTCAGAAGAGCGACTTTGCTATAAAGCAGACATGGGCTCTAGGCAAGGTAGTAGTTTTTCCCCCTCATCCCCCTCATCCCTTCAATTTGGTATGAAGTGGGCACAGATGCTTCCCCATTTGCATGACTTGCAATTGCATAGCCCTCTGTATCGGACACCAGCTGCCTTCCAATGCACTCTCCCTTTTTAAAAGTGACTTGCAGGTGCGCACTTTTCAATAACACATCCAACCATCCGCTCCTGCCTTTTTTGAGCTGTTATATAAGTTGAACCATTGGGCCACAAAACTTTCTTTGCACTGGACATCAGAAAAGGTTCAGCTGGAATAAGGAAAGGTAGAAAAGGCCAAGTCTGTTGCCTTACTATTCTCCACTACAGATCACTAGCCCTCTGCAGCCTGCTGATAGGACAGTAAAGGTATAGTAACATACTTAGTTTCCTCATTTTGCTCTCCCTTGTAACCAAGTTAAGGAAGGAAAGCTAATGGCATGGCAATGCAACAGAGCCTGCTGACCCTTACTTCCCCAGTCTGAGTTCTGATATGCAAGCTGATTTGGGTAGTTTTACAAGATGCATTGTGGAACATTTTTATTTTAATAGGTACAACATAAACATGCTTGTTTGACTCCTAAAAGATAAATGTATTAAGGTTGGCTGTAGCTCCCGCAATTCAGCATGTAGCATGATCTGTTTGAAATTGCCTACCCTAATTCATGGGCAAGCGAATTGTGCTTACCACACACAGTTACAATTTAAATGTACAATCTTCTTTAGATCTACCAGCAACTATGTAGTGCAAGGGCTTGCTTACTTGGATACTAATCGACTGAATAAGTTCTCATATTACATAGTTTTGGTAAATCTAAAGTTGTACAAAGATTGTATGGTCCGTGTGTAACGTGTATGGAGACCCTAAATAGCTGGGATGTTGTGACCGGTCTTTCCTTAGATACCCTGATATGTGAGGCCCAGAATTGGACACTGTAGATCACTAGTAAATTCATTATTTTAAGGCTGCGTGCCAAAACCTCAATGTACAAGTACAAAATGCAGGTAGGCAATGCTCCCTCGTATATTCAAATATATTCAACAGTGTTCTTGGCGGGAAACAAGTCCCGGTATCCAGTACTGCCTACTGCCTTTAAAGTAAAGTAGGAAATGTACAGGCTCGTGTTTTGCTTAGTGATAACTATATGAAAATGTTCAAAATTCTACAGAAAATATGAAGTTAATCGGTTCTCAAGGCTATGAATATTTCAAGTGGCAAACATTTCTGCTGACAGGTGAGATAGTAAAAAATAAATAAAATGGAACTATTAGGTGAAATTAGCCATAGACCTCACATGATTACTGCACATGGAGACACTATCCAGCATCATAATGGTGCTTGTCACAAATAATCATTTTATGTACATGTATGCTCGCACTGCCCCCATCATGCATGTTCGTGGTGTAGATGAGTCTGCAGGCAACCCCTAGCTTCGTAGTTGTGTCTGAAACAATCTGATCTACCTATTTAAACATTCCCAAGTGCTTGTTCGTTCAGGGTCATCTGATGAGACCTACAAAAGCGATTTTTCATTCTTTTTTGATCTTGCTGAATCAGTCAACTAGGTCTAGAAGTATCGTTCATACATAATAATGTGGGTGTTTACATATTGTAAGGTCATTGGAAGCTGTCAGTAACAGATCAAGCTGATGAATTCTGTCGTTAGAATCCTGGACCTAAAGCCATACACGGATTATATCCTTGAATTTTTATCTCGGCAGAGTCCATTTGGATACATCTTTCCTAGATATTTGTACATTTCAACATGTAATCTTCAGTGTATTCATAGTTTTCTGTCAACCTATGTTGTGTTGTGTGTCTGTGTTGCGTAAAAATGCCAACTGAATGCAAAAAGAATAATTCTTATTGACAGAGACAGTTCTGATTTTATCTACTGTTATTTGCCAGGAGAGCAACTGAAGCTGCTTTGTATCCATGTCTAACGAAACAAATTGCACGTTCCCAAAAGATTATGAAGCCATCCTCTTTCCCATCATCTACAGCAGCGTTTTCGTGGTGGGATTGTTGGGTAACCTAACAGCGATTGGCGTTATTGTCCAGTTAATTAAAAAGAAGAACGTCTTGGGTGTCTATCTGGCCAATCTTTGTGTCTCGGACCTCCTGTACATCTTCACCCTCCCTGCCTGGATAGTCTACACTGCCAAAGAGGACTGGGTCTTCGGGACTCTAAGCTGTAAAATTGTGGGCTTCTTCTTCAACGCCAACTTTTACACTACTATTGCCTTTCTCAGCTGTATAGCCACAGATCGTTTTATTGCCACGGTTTTTCCATTGCGCTCACGGACATTTCGGAGCATGAAAAAAGCTTTGGTGACCTGCATAGTGGTTTGGTTGATCATCCTCGGCTCTCACTCCTATATTTTATCCAGAGATGACCTGTTTACCTCCATCCAAAATGTGAAGTTGTGCTATGAGAAGTACCCCATGGATCAGTGGATGGCTCGTCTCAACTATTTCCGTATCTTTGTCGTTTTTCTGATCCCTTTGGTCATTTTGGTCTTTTCTTATTGTTCCATTATCCTGGTAATACAGCGTACCTCTACTTTGGAAGCAGAGCAAAAAAGAAGGGTGACCGGCCTCCTCTTTTCCATGATCGTCATCTTTATCATTTGCTACCTCCCCTACCATGTGGTCCTTTTCATCCGTTCCTATGTGAGTGACTATAACTATGGGAATTGTGAGATAGAGGAGCAAGTTCGTCCAGCCTACCGGATCTCATTTACCCTCAGCAGTGTCAGCAGTGCCTTAGACCCTTTTATTAATATTTTTGTTAGTGATGGAGTGAAGCGAGACCTTTTGATGGAACTGCGAGCTATCTATTTTTGTCTGTTTTACCGAGGTGAAAGGGAAAAAAGTAAAATGAGGCGCCTTAATTTTGAGTGCAATGGTGCCTCAAAGAACAACAAACTTCTGTGCACTCACCAAACTAAAGTACAGACAAGGTTATAGATGAAGAAAACGGCAATTTAGAGGTGCATTGAGATCTTATTACATAGAAACTGGAAAATGTGATGGCCTGGTCTTCTGGACAATTCTGTTAATGGAGTAAGCTATGTGCAAGTTTATAAGCTGTCAATAATTTGTTTTCTAATCTTTTACTGAAGTTGCTGGTCACAGTTAAAGGCAACTGCTGATGCTGCTTTTACTAAAGAAAAAAAACGAAGATCTGTTAATATGAGTACAGTATTAAAATGCTTTCATGGTATTATAAGACAGTTGGGCCACAAAGGGAGCACATGCTAAACTAAAAGCCAAGTGTGATCTGTTGTGTTGTGTTTTTTTTAAATAATTATAGCTAGTTAATATTGGTCAGTATGTGTATTTTGTTTTTGTTTTTTAAGGCTCACACTTGAGATTGGAAAGGAACACAATTTAGACAATTTAGATTACAGTGCAGTATTAAGGAGATTTGGCAGTTTCCTAACACCTCTTAAATGAAGTGACTGGATGGAGTCCGGAATTTTGGATTGTCCGTAGAGCAACTACACTATACTATACTACACTATATTGTGAATACAATCACATTTTGGGATCTGTTTGGTTTTGCTGTATTTAACTGATCCAGAAATGCTGATTTGGTTTACCAAACAGTGTAGATTTGGTTAGGTCACCCGGAACCGTTCTTTGTCTCCTGTCATCTTCTCTAAAGGTTCTTTTGACTTTCCCACTTCTGTTTGCTCTACTTGAGAGCAGCCACATGGATCTTTCATTAAAGTTCATTAGCTAGTGTAGGGAATTAGTAGTTCATCATGCTACTTTACATGAGCAGAGTAGCACAGCAGGGAAACAAGTTTATTATTTGATCTCATGCAATAGTGTACCACCACCACTGTCTATTAAAGATTGTAGTTATTTAGATGATTGTGCTCTTTACAGTCCACCAAATGATACCTTTTTTGTTTTGGGTACAGTAAGTCTAAGATTTAAAGGCCTTTTTCCTATTGAGGTAAAACACGTCTATCTTGTCTCGGGTAACAATAGTCCTCCAAGTGCCTGTGTTAGTCTGTAAATTCATTTCTGTATCCCTGTGGATTTCATACCCTACCCAAACAGCACATCAAACCATAACGCGCACGCACACTGCTTGTAAAACCATGCTTGGGTCCACAGCTAGATAGTGGTAAATCCAAGTGTAGAAAGAGCCAGCATGCCAACTTGAAATTCACATGGACAGTTTACAAAAGTATCAGAACATAACATTAACATTTCAATGGTGCAAGGACCCTCTCTTTAGTAAGGTGACACAAGCAGAGACAAATGGGCCACAACCATGCAAAAATGTATACACCAAAAGACCACAGGTGAATAATCCCGTTTAGTTGCCAATGCCCACCTAGAATATCAGCAGACTGGACCATATATGCCACTAAATCTACCATAGATGCAAAGAAACTCATGATGTAAAAAAAGATTATAATCCATCAGCTCCTACCTGTGTTGACCCCACATTCAAGATGGAGAGAGGAATTTCTGTGCCGACCACCTAGCCATACAAAAATCTAGAGCCAGAGACTTCAGTGGCTATTGAGGTTCTGGCATTGGAGAATGGCAGGTGAAGGTGCAGATTGGTGCCAGGATGGGGTGTAGTTTTTTTTTAATGCTTTTGAGTTTGGAAGTCAAGGCTTTGTATATAGCTTGGGCCTAAAGTCTAGGAAGCTTGATACAGGAACCTAAGAATTGTCTGAAGAATAACACACATACTTGCAAATACTAAGGGAGTATTGTTAGCTTAGACAATGTGTAGAAACTGACATGTTCTCTTTAATGGGTGCCTGCACCAGTATAGCAAATGATATGCTGCAAACAAGGATGAATGTTTGCCCAGTGAGATCATTTGTGGTCAAATAGAATGATTTCATGTCTGTTCAACCATGCTGACCAAGCTCACCTCCTCCATAGGTACAGATTGCAGATGTACTTGTACAGCACTATTTTGTTCTAGTATTAAGCTGCTGAATCTTCTGTAGACTCCTTAAAGCGTATGTCCAGCCAAAAATGTTTTTCTTGGTTTTGGATAGAGTGGGGAAGGATTGGAAGCCCTGTGAGGTTTTTACTGCATCAGGGGACTTGTTCGACATTTACCCTCACTTCTTGATCTGCTGACAATGTTTTAATCGACCAGGAATTGAGGCGAACACTTACATGGCTACACAGACCATAATAAAAAGGCTTTTTTCTTTGCAGCCTTATTTTTGTCTGTGTCCCTGTTGCTGATTTTCTCTGATTTCCTGTCTGATGAAACAATTGTCAGCTAGTAATGGTAAATCTCTCCATTGAAGCCCCAGATGTCAGTAAAAACCCTTCTAGTACTGCTATGATGATGCACACTGCACAGCATTGAGGCACAGGGGATCAGAGTAGCCTTCAGATATTTTACTCACAGAATACACACATTGTCTTAATTTCAGGAAGAATTGAGTACAATGTTTACTTCCCCCGTCCTTCTCTTTCACCACATTGTGTTCACTGCCAAATTACCAAATGTGGTCTTAATTTCTGTGCAGGGTATTGTCTCTCAGACTGTTAGATCTAGCTACTGGACTTCTGAACATACATACATACATACATACATACATACATACATACCAGTTAAAAGGATAGTGTACACAGGCTTTGGAGACCAAATAGTGATTCTTTACTCCTTAAAAGTCAATTTGAGTGCCTGTTAAATACATGGAAGATGCATGTAAATGCCGATGTATAGTAGCCCTTTTAGTAGTGTTGTATCTGCTGCTGCTTCATATCATTTGTCAGCTTATGTTTTTCATGCAGTAATCCTATTTATGTTCTCAGTGTTCATTGTAAAATATTTTGTGACATGTATATATTATATTATGTTTAAGATATTGTATCGTGTATATAATGATGTATTAATAAAATTGCCATGTTTTTGTTTTATCAAACCTGAGTCTATAAATATTTGTACTCCGTGTCCAGTTCATAAACTTGCCGTATATATCCGTGCTTCTTTTCCACCTCCCGGTCAGGAAACTATTTGTAAGGACATTCAAAGCTCCATGGACTCATCGCTCCAATTCTAACCACAGCTGCAGTTCATTCACACTCTAGGTGCAGGCTGTAGTGTGCTTCTCACTTTCCCAAATAAATCTCCCAAAGATCAGCCGCACAGAAACCAGCGGACGTGTAATCCAGAATTTTATATTGAAGTAAATCCAAACAGATTCCAAAAGGCAAATCCCAAAAATTATATACAACATGTACATCAGCATAAGTGTCTCCCATACCACGCCAACGCCTCTCACTCATTTCACCACCTGGGCTTAATCATAGAGGTGAGAGGCGCTGGTGTAGTATGGGAGACACTATGGGTGATGTACATGTTGCATATTACTTCCATAAAATTCTTGATTACACTTCCGCTGGTTTCTGTGCGGCTGATCTTTTGGAGACTATTTGCAAGGAGTTTGCATGTTCTCCCTGTGCTTGTGTGGGTTTCCTCCGGGTACTCTGATTTTCCTCCCACACTCCAAAGACATGCTGGAAGGTTAATAGGCTCCTGTATAAATTGGCCCTAGTATGTATGCATGTGAGATAGGGACCTTTAGATTGTAAGCTCCTTGAGGGTAGGGACTGATGTGTAAAGTGCTGCGTATATTGTCGGGTCTCTATAAATACTCATAATAAATAGATCTCCTCAGTCTGGTGGCACGCATCATTTAACCTTCTTTCTCTGAGCCTGTGAATGGACAGTAAAAGGAGAAGTGGCACAATGATGATAGCTGAACTTCAACTTTAAAAATGTGTATATATATACTTGCATTGATCCAGCTTGATACAATGTAAGTATATATATAAATGATCCCTGGCAGGGCCACGGGGAACTTTTTAATACGTCACTGCCCCCAATCCCATCAGAGAATGCCTAGTGTTCATTGAGGAAAATACTAGGAGCCCTCTGAGTGACCCGCTGTGTTTTAGCAGCAAAGAGGAAGCCGATCTGGACCCAGAGGATACACTGCAATAGCTGCGGCTAATGGTGTTATTACACAATCCTGCCAGGGATCATTCATATGTACTTATTTTTCCAGCTTGGCGCAATGTGAGAGAAAAGATACTTTTTCTAAAGCTGGAGCTCAACTTTAACAACGATCCTCTCATTTGTTCCCTTTGGTTTGCTCCCTTTTGGTTTGCTATCTATACAGTTGAAAGTGTTTTGTTAAAGTAGTATTAAGATCTGGGCATTTTTTACCTTAATGCATTCTCTGCATTAGGGTAAAAACAGCCCAGTCTCGCCCACACTTACCTCTCAGCTGTGCTCGTCCCCGCCTCCGGTCCCGAAGTGATCCTCCGTACCCCGAACTTCCGGGGTGCAGAGGAAGATACTGATGGCAGAGGAGCCATAGGCTCCTGCCATCAATCAAAGAGGGAAGGGTCGTGGCCTGCCACAGGGCTGTGTGTGTCTATGGACGCACACAGCCCCTGCGGGGACGAGTGCGCACGGGTGCCTCCATTAGAACGATGGTGGCACCCGTGCAGGGGGCGGGGGGGAAGAGCATGGTGGGGACCCACTAAAAAACGATGAATGAACTTTTTTTTTTTTTTTTAAACAGCCTCCAGCAAAAAAGTGTCTCCTTAAAGGTGAAATTAAAAAAAAATGGCTTTAATATCACTTTAAATCCATTTGATGAGTGCTCTCTGGCTGTGCCCAAGGAGGAAATATGGAGTTGAGGGGGGAGGAGTCGAGGAGAGGGCTGTGTTCTTTGTTGGAAATGAAATAGGCAGGGCTGACACCAAATGCTTAGGAATCCAGAGCTGTGTCGTCACATCCAAGTGGCAGGTAGGAGCACACTATATTCCTGGCACATCAACATTTCAAAGTTTATTGATCCATCCAATGTGAATGCAAAGCCCCCTGAGCCGCTGCTCTCCAACTCATTTCACTCAGTGATGTGCTTATTCATAGAGTCTCTGAAAAAGCACATCTCACC